CCCGAACGAGTGGCCCACCATCACAAAGAAGGCGACCTTGCCGGTGCTGGGATCCTTCAAGGCCACGACACTCCACTTCCTGTGACCAGGCGAGATCGGCACCTGACGATAGGCCCTGCGCTCGTCCAGTACCCATCCACGTAGAGGTTTGGCCGCCATATTGATCCCATTCGCGGTGGCACTGTCCACTCCCCGAACTTTGTTCTTCTGGACGACCTCGAACCTCTGCGTAGGGATCCAGTGATCGTCCCCCACAAACTCCGAGACCTCGGACTCTTCAAAGAAGGGCCCGACCGCGGCTCCTTCCGCCACATCCTCCAAGGTCGCCTCCCAGACCTTGGGCGAGTGCTCACGGGAGCTCTTTTTATCGCTCTCAGAACCTTGGAACGAAACTCCCAGGCCCGAGAACGAAGAGAGTCCACGGTAAGGTGATCAGCATGGGGCTTCCGATCGGCCGCCCATCGATGTGAAGAGGCGATGTCACCCACGATCGGCATACCGGCCATGATCTGGTCCACCAAGTCCACGTCGGAACAGGCGGCATGCTGCATGAGCTCGCGCCAGAGGGCGACGTGGAAGAAAGCGCCGAGCTCCACCGGTTGATCATCCGGAACACCCCGCAACAGCCGACGAAGGTGGCGGTCCGGGATCTGTTTGAGCAAGCTGTCAGACTGAGGCACGAGCTCTCGCGCGCGAGCGTCCCAATGCTGTAGGAGCGACTCACGGCGATCGCAGATTGCCTGAGGATGATCCACTATCTCTTGCAGAACGGCCTGAAGATCAGAGTCGATTGCGGCGTCCTTGGTGAAGGGATGGATCGTATCGAGCGCGAACTCGATCGCCTCGCCCGGATGCATTTCAGTCGTGATCAAAGGAAGGACGACCGACTTTTTCATCTGGTAGCCGGCCGCGATCGCCTTCTGGCCAGAAGATCGCTGACGATGATCGCGAACTCGAACAGGAGCTCCACGCGGTCGCTTGCGATCAGCAGCTTCAGTGCGGAGAGCAAACGTCGGGGCTTGCCAGGGAACGTCCGCATGGTCGCCCGTCTGCACCGGAGCCGGGTTGAACCCGAGCTGTAGGAGCTGTTCGAATTCGTCGGCAGGGATCCGATCGACACCCTGGACGGAGTAGACTGCAAGGACTACCCTTGTGCCTTCCCAGGGGAGCGTCATGTGAAGAGCTTCCTTGGCGTTAAAGACG